TATAAAAGGGGACCTTGGCCAAGATTTTGAGAGCATCAATTCCTCTTCATCATATTTTAGTTTCCTTCATTTTCTTTATAACATTTCGTTATGTACTTCTAAACCATTAGCTAGAGCTAGGGGTGAAACTTTGGTGAATGCATAATATTATCTTTGATCTTTCACTTTATTCTTCAATGTTCATCTTCTTAATTGATTGAAGTATATGTTCTACAAGTAGTTTTGGTTTGTTAAAAACTTTCATTTATTGTTGACAAATATTGGCACAATAAATTCTTAGATAATCTCTACACACCAACAACTTATTTTGACATATTCTCTCAAACAATTATCAAGATCTATCTTTTAGTATATTTGCAATTAATGTTTTATCTTCCATATGAGATCACTCCTTGGTTGATTTCCATATGAGTTAAATAAAAGATCAAGAGTAATTGTACTCATTTATTCGAAGTGAATCCCCAAGGCTCTAGTGTTCTTCTCCATCATATTTCCACCAACCATTTACTACTCATGGAATAGTTTATTTCATTTCAATTCCCTGTGGTTCGACCTCGAACTTCCGAGTTTACTACTTGCAACAACCTGCTGGGTTTGCAACCTTAAAGTTGTAGCAATAGATGTGTTAGTGTCTACGTAATGTACTAATCCTTAACGAGTAGTACAATACTTACCCAAGTGTAATTGCTCTCCACTCCATCTCGAACGCTTTCCAGTTGGCGTCGTCCACCTCCCTGAATAAATGGGGGTGCGTGCCGTCGACAAACCTCCTCTTCTTCACCTCTGTGGTAAATGGAGAAACAACGTACTATGATGGTGCCCTCGAGCTCTTGTCGAACACCAGCTCCAGCACGTCAACAGCACACGATACCCTTCCGATCTTCGGTACTCCCACACCTACCATCGGGACCACCTCCTTCGTCCCCTCCAACATAAAAATTATGTCCGACGAGTCTGATGTCTGAGATGGTACCCTCTCCGCCTCGGGTACCCCCTCCTTCTCTGGCACCCTCCCGACTTCCGCCTCGGGTACTCCCTCCTCCTCCAACACTGTCACGACTTCCTCCTCCGACACCCTCCGGACCTCCGCCTTTGGTAACCCCTCCTCCTCTGACACCGTCACGACCTCCTCCTTCGGAACCCTCCAACCTCCGCCTCAGGTACCCTCTCCTCCTCCGACACCCTCACGACCTCTTCCTCCGACACCCTCCCGACCTCCGCCTCGGGTACCCCCTCCTCCTTCGACATCCTCACGACCTCCTCCTCTAACACCATTCCGGCCTCCACCTCTGGTAGCTCCTTCGCCCTGAACACCCTCACGACCTCCTCTTCCAACACCCTCATGACCTCCTCCTCTGATACCCTCTCCACCTCGCGTACTTCCTCCGCCTCTATCTCCATCTCCATCGGGCCATCAAGATATGAAGTTAATGCATCATTCGATGCCTACAACGAGTTAACATACCCCATCTAACCCCCGCGGCCCTGATAACCATCGACCCTTCCATCCCGATAGCCACCGTCCCTCCATCACCCCCTCCATCCTGATAGCTGTATGTCCCTCCGTTACCCTCTCCGTCTTGATAGCCGCCTGTCCCTCCGCCACCCACTCCATCCTGATACTCGTCAGTCCCACATAGGCCTACTATGTCGCCCCGTATCGCTATGACCTCAGCATAAAGGTTTCCTAAACCGACCTGTACCATCCCAACATCACGTCATAAGTCAGCTACGTTGCCTTTGATCTCCATCATAAGTCGAAACATATCATCGATGGAAACACTTTGACTACATGCAGCAGATCCACGTGGGAGGTGTCCAGAAGCAGGAGATGGTGATCTCATGTAGGGAGGTGACATTCTCGGCGGAGGTGATCTCATGTAGGGAGGTGACACCCTTAACGGAGGCGACATCCTCGGGGAATGTGACACCGTCGACGGAGGTGATAATCAACTGTGCTCCTAAAAAAATAAACATTACAAATGAATAACTTAATTAAAAAATTATAACGATAATCAACATATTATATTCAATTAACATACCATGTCCCGATCGACGATGGACTCAGACCTCTTTCAAGCATCACGATTTGTCAACAATTCACGGATATACCTTCGATCCTCCTCCTCGATTGATGGTGTCAGCTCAGTGAGGACTTCAAGCTGACATATTAACATTTCATCGAATTACTGACCAATTATCAAAATTTCAAAAATGACATACAATAAAAAACGCAAATATATAATACGTGCATCAGGATCGTCGAGGATAGCCTATAACTGTTTTGCAAAGGGCTTGTCTTGTGCTCACCAACAGTGCATCCGAGGGATGCATGTATCCCGTCTCCTCGCATACCGACCAGCCAGAATGGGGGACAGTCTCGTAGACCCATATCTGCAAGAATTACGATTATTATATGTACAATTCAATCAAAAAAATAGATAACTCATTATGCTAAACATTTACCTGCAAAGCTAACGGCATGTCATATACATCGCACTTACACTCCAATCTATCTCCCCTAGGCATCAAATGTCCCCTCCTGAAAACACGTAAAGTATCGGCAAAGCATCCCTACCCCCATGGATAGCTGTTAAACGTATCGATGTCATCAACAACTTGTAAATGAAAAACGTCAATCAACGTCTTACTGTGATGACACCTCAGTACGCTCTCAAGTATAAACATCATCCCTAACTTCAACTTGTCGAACATCTGGTAGCATCCCCTGAATGCATCTCCTAACTGCGCTAGTGTCACTGTTGTGTGCCCATTAAAATAATCATTCAACAGCCTCTTGTCTATCGAAATACTGACCCTCGTTGCCTCTTCGCATGTACATCTCAATCCAGTGATAAGGGTAAACTCGAGTATGAAAAATGTAGCAACCTTGCCTCCAAGATCAAAGTGGAGGGCATAGTAATAAATCGATCAATTGTCCAGAAAATTGTACAGATCACAGCGAATACAAGGGTCATAGGCAGGATCGACGTAATATCTCTGCATGCTCCTCGTCCAATGAATCCAACACTGCTGTGAAGCTGATAAAGTTACAATTCGACGTAACTTTGTCAGGAACCTATTTCAAGACGACATCCAAATGGTAATCCATCTTGCAAAATTTCAAACGTTAGAACATTTGAAACATAATGTCACAAAATTCAACTAACCAAACTGTAAGTAACATACGCACGAAATAACAGATAATAAAGGAAATGGATTAAAAATTAGACAACAAATTATAAAAAACGAAAACTAATTTTTGTAAAATTATTTATTGCATAGTTTATTTTAATCCTTGTTAGAAATTTATTTCAATTCTTTATTTAATTAAATTTGATTATTTATATTTAATTACTTATTTAAATAAATTATTTTGAATATTTATATTTCTTAGTTATTTAAATTGTTTATTTTTATTTAAATGTTCATTATTTATTTCAATTTTTTATCTAAATTATTTATTTCATTTGTTTATTTGTTTATTTAACATTTATTTTTATTGTTTATTGAATGCTTAATTTTAATTATTTATTATAATTATTTATTTAATTATTTTCTTTAAATTATTTATTAAACATTTAAACGTAAATATGTAATTATTTGTTATATTTTTCTTTAGTTGTTTATTCAATATTTATTTTAATTATTAATTGAATATTTAATTATTTATTTTAAATGTTAGATATTTATTTCAATTGTTTATCTACATTTTCATTACTTACTTTGATTAATTTTATTTAAATGTTTTTTATTTATTTGTTTCAATTGTTCATTTAAATTATTTGATTTAATTATTTATATTGATTGATTATTTAAATTATTTATTGAGCAAGTAAACGTAAATATTATTTATTTAAATGTTCATTATTTATTTTTGTGCATTTAAATTAATTAATTATTCCAATTATTTTTATTTATTTAAGTATCTATTGAACAAGTAAACGTAAATATTTAATTATTTATTTGAAATATTTGAAATTTATTTTAGTTAAATTTTAATTACATATTTTGATTATTAATGTTTATTCATTATTTACATTTTTCATTTATCATTTAAATAATTATTTTATTATTATTTAAATATTCATTTTTTATTTTTGTACATTTAAATTAATTATTTATTCTAATTATTTTTCATTTATTTGTTCCAATTTTTCATTTAAATTATTTGATTTAATTATTTATATTGATTGATTATTTAAATTATTTATTGAACAAGTAAACGTAAATATTTAATTATTTATTTTAAATGTTTGAAATTTATTTCAATTAAATTTTAATTATATATTTTGATTATTAACATTTATTTATTATTTACATTTTTTATTTATCATCAGTCCATTATTTATTTTTGTGTATTTAAATTATTTATGAAAAAAAAAGACCACCGGGCTATCTGGAAAATATGGCCCAGAAGCTAGGCCGTCTATTTGACAGGCAGCTGGATGGCCCATCGCGCCTTCTTCTTCGTCCTACGCCTAGGATTGTCATTTCCGGCGATCTCCGGCCCAAAAAACCTCAAAAATGTTATTTCTTACTATTTTACATAATCTACAAAGATTTCTACCACTATTTCTTCACCTCTAATGGTGACCAGTCAATCGACTTCCAAGAAAGAAGTCGTCGATTTTCTTGCAATTTCTTTCCCTTCTTTCTCCAGTCGTCGATTTGAGAGTGATTTGTTAGAAGAAATATTGGGTTTTCATTATTTTTAATATTTTTACAAATTTTTCAATTTTTTTTAAAATAAACCCCTGCTTAATCCCCATTACTTGAAAATGAAAATGGGAGAAATAGTATTTTTTTAAAAAATGAGTGGTTGAAAAAAAATTTCGATTTACGTGTAATATTATTTTATAAAAAATTGAGTGATTGAAAATAAAAAAAAGGAAAATAAAATATAATGTAATTTAATTTAACAGAGATCAAACAGAGGTTATAGTAAACGACAATTAAAAAAATAAAAATAAAAATAAAAATCTCTTTTTGATAGCTATCTGCGATCATTTCCTCATTTTGACTTGCCCTTTAAGAAGCCGCAAAATAATTGCATCTTGCGTAATGCCTTACGTGAAATTTTTCCCTCCTTTATAAATTTCACTTTCAATCCCCATCTCGTATAATATCGTCTTCGTTTACTCTGAATTTCATCATATCTTTCGCACCATAAAATTTATATAATTTTCTTCCATTTATCAGATAACGATCATCATGTCTCAGGTACATTTATTCCCTTTTAAATTTTTCTTTCGGGCAATTAATTGCGTTTTATTTTTATTATTTGATATGTTTGGTGTTGGATTTTCTGATTGTGTTTTTATTGCCCCTAGAATTTAGATATTGCATCGGGGAATTTTTTGCGATTGTTGATTTTTTGGTTGGAAATTATCGAATTGGGGTTTGATTTTCTGAGCTGAAAAATAAGGAAATGCATCAAATTGATGTAGTATTCTATTGAATTCTGCTAAATTGTGTTCATATGAATATTAATCTGACCTTTTTTGTTGCCATAGATGTATGAGGCCTGTTGTTTAGATTTAAATGATGAGAATAATTTCGCGAACTCCTTCGTTTGTTGTTCTCTTCATTTTTGTTCAATTATCTTTGATATAAAATAAAATAAAATTACTTAGAAGACTTGGTCATCTTTCTTTTATGGACTGTTTGAAGAGCTGATATTACCTTTTATCATGAGAACTGAAAAATGAATTTTCCTATTAAAAGGTATACGCAACTATGAAACTATTGTCTGGTTGTACTTTAAGGATGGCCTGAAAACAATCAAAGATTCAGAGTGTTACAGTGCAGCACTCTCAAAAAAAATTAGCTTGTATATTAATAAAACTTGAATGAAGGATGTATTCTGGTTTAAATATTAGACCCCGTGATTTTATGATAAGTTAATGCAAATTCATTTACATGCCTATGTTTTTTTATCTTGACAACTTCAACACTCGTACATGTTTGATTGCAGACTGTTGTCCTTAAAGTTGGCATGTCCTGCCAAGGCTGCGTTGGAGCTGTGAAGAGGGTTTTAGGGAAAATGGAAGGTTTGTGACCTTTTCCTGATATCAGCGATAATGCATGAGCAGTGTACACCAAGCACTGCTCTTAATGCATTCTTTTATTTTCCAAGACGTCAAATCAATATCTTAGACCATTCACGATAATGTCCACTATGAGGCCAATAATAAAATGCTTAGAAACGGGAAACCATACTAGTGCACACCTTAGCCACATTGAAACTTAGGCTAGAGGCAGAAGACTCAGTGAAGCAAGGCATAAGCCTTTATAAATTTCACTAAAGACGTAAGCTTCAGGGTGTTTAACGAAAGCCTAAGTTGATGTGCTTTTCAAGCCGTAAGCCTTAGACAGCTTTTCAAAACAATGTTGCCTGGGCAATAGAGCTTGAGTGTCTTTTCCATGCTACTGTTTGTGTTTTTCTTTTTCAGTCTTTTGTTGGCTATGACCTATTGCTATACACGTTGGTTAAATGTTGCTTTCATGATTCTTAAGCTTCAATTGTTGTGCATCAACGACAAATGTAACCATATTTTAGGGTGTGTACGTGTGGCAATACTCTGTGAAGATGAGTGTTTTGCTAGCACTGTGCTTTTATGTTTAAAGTGATCGTTGTATTGGCTATATTTCATTTACCTTTATCGAATTTGGTTTGAAAAATGATTTCATTTTAGTTTTTCAATAATCCCAACTATGAAGAATCTCCCTCCTTTCAGTTAGAATTTTAAAGCTATTCTCTTGAAATTTAGGAAGAAAAGGTAATGTAGATGACTTTTATTTGCAATAAATTCTTTCCAACCAACTCTAAGAAGGTACCTTTGTTAAGTATATTTTGGGCTTAGCTTTTGTTCTTGGCCATTAGGGAAGATGTATTGCCTACTTTCTCATCAAACGAATTCTGGGCCATAGAATTTTTCTCGGCCATGTGGAACTAAAACAAAGAGAAGTTCCTTTCCATTCGCTTGATAAATTTGAAGGTCAAATTTTCATAAAAACCTATTGACTTATGGAATCTTAATTCTTGATGAACAGGTGTTGAATCGTTTGACATTGATATGGAGCAGCAAAAAGTGACCGTGAAAGGCAATGTCCAGCCAGAGGCAGTTCTGCAGACTGTTTCAAAGACTGGGAAGGCGACCTCTTTCTGGGAAGCACCCCCTCAAGCTGTTGCTTAATATGCTCATTTACTACACCGGATAAATGGAATGTTTGTTGTGGAACTCGATTTAATAACCGCAAGAAAAACAGTGTGTGGGTTGGTGTTTGTGGGAGTATTTGTCAAGCTTTTTATGCAAACTCGTGATGTAAACATGTGTTATTGTCTATAAAGACTTTTCAACTACTGTCCAAAAACATATGACCTTCTCGCGCGCCTCTCTTCTTTAATGCAAATGGTTTGTGCCAACACAGTATAGTCCTAGATTTTCTTAATCAAGTTTCAACCAACTCGATTTAACATTTTAGTTTTATTTACGAGGTAAAACAAATATTAGAATATAAATTATTCTAAAAATGAATTGAGATTTTGTATTTAGTAGTATGAGAAGATGTATTGGGCATTCTCCTAATCATCAACTCGAGCTTCCTTCTTTTACAGTTGACGAGATGGATTAGCCTTGTTCATTTGGTGTTCATTCTGTTCTCTTAAAATTGAAATATTTGGAAAAAATAATTTTCTCAAATTTATTTCTAATCTTATATTTTTTTTAAATTAAATAATTTTACACGTAAATTTATAATTTTTGTTTACATATTATTCACTCAGTTTTATAAAAATCATCTTTCACTTCAAATATTTTTCTCTAACAAACACTACAAGTTCATTAGGATGAGAAATAATATGAATAGAAATGCATTCTACTTGCCCCCGGGCATAGTCTAGTGGTGCAAATAACAGGAGTGAGGTTATCTCACGCCTTGTTGGTAGTCGCAGTGTACAGACAGCTCTTATTCCCTGACCTGGTGGGGCACATCCCGCGATTTACCTCCATCACAAAACTCTATAGGCAGAGCGTTAGGAGCCCTCAATTGGAGTTCAAATTTTTTTTTTTTTTTTTTTTTTTTTTTTTTTTTTTTTTTTGTTTTAAGAAATGCATTCTACTTAGAGTTGGTGCACCGTGGACTCAATGTCACCTCCACAGATTTGCTAGATGATGAAAAATCTCGGGTGTAGCAGTGAAAAATCAATCGCCTCAGTCCATCCAGAGAGCCTGGTACAGTGTCCATGTAGTTAAAGAATAAAGAGAAGCGAAATTTTCCAAAAAAAAAAAAAAAAAAAAAAAAAAAAAAAAAAAAAATTAATTGTGTGCCATGCCGAACGTTGCACTTCTTATTGATGGACTAACTTGGCAGAGCACAGAGGTTGATATAGGATGTTGGATCCGCATTGAACCAATTCTAATGGAAAATTTGTGCATGAAACGCTCAAGTTCCATGTGTATAGGTAGAGCCTAGTCCCCATTTAGTTTGGTCATGTTCTAAATATCGAATTCAAGCAATTCGTATGCAATTTTTCAGATTTTGAAATTTGAGCATGTCTCGACATATTTTGAATTCAAGTAGTTAAATATATAGAAATTTTAGTTTATGTTTGGTGTGGATTAAAAGTTAATAAAAAATTAAAATCAATAATTAATTTTAAACGAGAGAAAGTTGTGTTCTTCACAAGATTCAAATCCAATTGAAATTCACAAGCATCCTACGTAGTTCCAGAAACTCAAACCACTATTTGACAAAGTTTCTTGATTGTGCCATTATAAACTGGAACTATCAAATGAACTAGAGATGTAGGAAATGGAGGACTTATGATCATAAACTGAACTCCCCAGCCTATTTATCATGAATACTTTCATTGATGCTTCGACTGACTTGTCGCAAATATCTTGAGAGAAATGCTTCTTGGTCATGGGATTGAATTCCACCTTTCTTTCCCGCAAAATGCTCTTCTTCCACTGTCATTATCTCGCCTCATTCGCTTATGCACCAAAACAAATTCCATTTCCAAAGGGAAAGCAATTCATGCTCAGCTTATTACATCCGTGTCGAAACCAGATGTCCAAACAATTAATCATTTACTCACGATGTATTTAAAGCTAGGCCACACTGACTATGCCCAGAAACTGTTCGAGCAAATGCCTGAAAGAAATCTTATCACTTGGACGACGCTAATCTCCTCGTATTCTCAAATAGGTCTTTCAGAAATGGCCCTAAATTGCCTTAGATCAATGGTTCTTGATGATGGGATTTCTCCAAATAATTATACTTATGTTGGTGCCATATCGGCTTGTGCTAATATGCGCGCCATGAGGACCGGGAAAGAAATACATGGGAAACTATATAGGACTGAGATTGTTAATAGCTTTGTTAATAACTGTTTGGTTAATTTTTATGGGAAATGTGGGTTATTGAAGTCTGCTAGGCTAGTGTTTGATGGCATTTTAGAGCCCAATACAATTAGTTGGGTTTCACTTATAGCTTGTCATTGCCAGTGTGGGGAGAATGATGAAGGGATGAGAATCTTCTTGCGATCTTTAAGGATGGGAGTGAAGGTAAATGAGTTCTCTTATGGTAGCGTTTTGGGAGCTTGTGCTGCCTTGGAGATGTTGGAGGTTGGAATGCAACTACAATGCCTTGCTGTTAAGTGTGGTATTGTTATCGACCAGTATGTTGTGACCGGGTTGGTTAATTTTTATGCTAAATGTGGTGAGTTGGAGTTAGCATGTAAAGCTTTCAAAGAGACAGATGAGCCTCACTTGACAGCTTGGACTGCACTGGTTGGGGGTTGTGTGCAGCTAGGAAAGGATAGGCAGGCAATTGATCTTTTCCGTCAGTTACTTTCTACGGGCTTGAAGCCAAGTGAGCAAACCCTGGCTTCTGTGCTTGGAGCCTTTGCTAATGAAAAGGAAGTTATAGGCGGGACACAGCTCCATGGTTTAATCATAAAGTTGGGATTTGATGCATTCACTTTTGTTTGCAATGCAGTGTTGGATTTTTATGCAAAAAGTGGTCATCTAGAGGACTCTTTGAAAACTTTTCGGGAAATGGATGCACGTGATATTGTTAGTTGGAATGCTTTCATAGCTGGACGTGTGAACTCAGGTCAATATGAAGAAGCAATTAGATTCATCCAGAATATGTCTTCGGAGGGTTTCCATCCTAATCTTTACACGTATTCTAGTCTTTTAGGTATGTGTGGGGATTTACCTGCGACTGAGTGGGGCAAGCAAACTCATTGCTGTGTCATAAAACCAGGATTCGATTCCAATGTGGTTGTTGGAAGTGCTCTTGTTGACATGTATGCCAAGTGTGGAAGACTGGATGATGCTAAGAAAGTTTTTAATATTCTTCCTAATAAGAATTTGGTTTCCTGGAATTCCATGATTGCAGGGTATGCCCAACATGGGTTGTGGATGGAAGCTTTGGAGATTTATGACATAATGCTTAAGAATGGAGTTAAACCAAACGACATCACATTCATTGGAGTCTTATCTTCCTGTGGACATGTAGGACATTTGGAGGAGGGGATGCACCATTTTAATTCAATGGTCAAAGATTTCAAAATCATCCCAAAAACGGATCATATTGCTTGTATGGTCAGTCTATTTGCACGCAAAGGACAAATGAGAGGAGCTTATGATTTCATAAGCCGTTTCCCCGGGCAGCCAGATAAAGTAGTTTGGCGCTCTCTTTTATCAGGATGTATAACTAACAAAGACTTGGAATTGGGTAAATATGCTGCTGAAAAGATTTTGAGTATTGATCCAGATGATACATCGGCCTATATCACACTATCAAATATTTATGCTGATTCAAAGATGTGGAACGAGATATCCCAAATCAGGAAACTGATGAAAGAGAAGGCATTAAAGAAAGAGATGGGTTATAGTTGGATTGAGTTACATAACACTATATATTTGTTTTCTGCTGGTCATGATATGCTAGTACTGAGAAATGGGGTTGTTGAAGTTCTAAGTGGATTGACAGCCCAATTGTTTGATGCAGGATATGTTCCTGATGCTCTGATCTCATTGGTTGATGGGCACTAAACCAAAAACACATTAATTTAACTCCTGCTTCACCCCTGGTTGGTAGGTAATCAACTTCAGTCTACCAGAAAAAAATCGTAAACTCGAATATTGCCTCAAGGTTGTGATTGGTCTGGACAAAATAAGTGTCCAAATGTTGTTCAACTCATTCTGAAGAGATAATACCTGGTATTGTTAAATGAAGAGTTGTATGAAATGTAAAGTTGGAATTCTTCAAGATTAATGCCACTGTCCTGCAGGAAGGCGAATCTCAACACAAGCTGCCCTATACACAAAACAGGCAGAGCAGTAATGTTACTATAAGCTGATACCGACTGAAAGTGGAACAATGCGACTTTTTCAAGCAGTCCACAGCATATATGCTCTTAGTTTTATCTTTAAGTTGAATATATGACTTTTTATTAGACCAAAATGAAATACAGTTTCTGGTGGTTGCGAAGGGTTTATTTATATTGGATTTTCCGCTTTGTTGCCGCTATCAACAGGGTAGTATAGAGAATAATGATTGATGTAGTCGACTCGAAATTTATTGAAAATAAGACTTGTTTTGTTAACTTGTGTTCAGAGGAACGAGAATGACACACTTTTTGCCATTGAGTTTCTTTAGAGATTCTTTCTCCCCTTTTCCATGCTATCTGTATATTGCATCCTATATATCTTTCACTAAAGAAGAAGAAAGAAAAAAAAAATGCAAAATTGGGGAAAAAAATGAAGAGAGAAAGATTTAGCCCCTGTTTGGCCCCCATTTTTTGAAGTAAAAATGGGTGGAATAGTGTTCTTTTTGAAAAATGAGTGGTTGAAAAAGAAGTAAAAATTTTCGATTTACGTGTAATATTATTTTATGGAAGATTGTGTGGTTGAAAATTGGAGAGAGAAAAATGAAATGTAATGAAATTTAATATAATGGGAGCCAAACAAGAGCTTAATTTTTGCATATTGTGGCTCAAAGCTAAGCTGGACTGCCAAGGACTTATTAGGCACTATTGGAGAGAGCGTGTTCTCCAAGCCTACAGCCCAACGGGCTTTTATATTTTCCTTTTTGTCTTCTGAATAATTTTAAAAGATTTTGACGGTGATTGTCAAGTTTTTAAAAAAAAAATTCGGGTGACAATCTTATTTTCTTTGTGACGTTGCTAGTAAAAATATGACATCAAGAGTGTATCTAGTAACAATTTACACTTTTTTTGTATTTAATTATATTCAATTCAACATATCAATTATGAAAGAGATTCAAAACTAAGTTCATTCCCTTTCCTTTTTATAAACAATTGAAATTTATGCTAATACATAAACTTGTTGGTTAGATTAGCTTATAAATATATCGTCTTAAATATATTAGATTGGCTTATAAATATATCATCTTAAATATAGTGTTTAAATTTCATTAAAGTTGTTGGTGGTTGTTTGACTTGTTTTGACATAATCTAGCATGGATCAGGACACTAAAATCTCTCAATCACCAAGCAAACATGTCGAGCCTCAATAACCAATAACAGCTACGGGGTCCACAAATGACTCGTCACGAACTTAAAATATAGTTCAAACATACCAAATCAAAGAAAAACCCATCAATTCCAGATCAAAAAATCTATACAATAAGGCCCGATTACCAAGCAATTACAAACTTCACAATTGGGGAAAACAAGGATCTACATATACTAAGTACTTGGCCAGAAGAAACTATATCTGCGTTTATACTCGAAATCTCTGTCCACACAATGAGAAAGCATAAATGCTTGCTTATCAAGATTTTGAAGCTTCCCTAGAAACAATTTCCTGCTCCAGCTATTCAAAAAAAAAAAAAAAATTAGGATAAGGAGGTGAACAAAAATGTAAAGAATGGAACACAAGTCAAAATCTTAGAATGAATAAGGATGCAAGATAAAATTGTTTAAAAAATTGAAAGCACCGAAAATACATAGCCATGTGAGCGGCAAAAATAAATCCATCCGTGAAAGGAGTGAAGACTGGATGTTATAGGAAAAAGTTATGTTCCACTTTCCAAGACTAAACGACAAGAGAAGTTGATGTGCGTATCCTAGAAAACTATTAAGATTCACTTTGATCACCAAAGGAAAAAACAAAATCTTGACAAATCACAAATCTATAGTCGAGATCTTCCCCATTCTCCGTTCCAAGATATGGCATCTAGACTAAGGCCAACTTAATGCAGCTAAATGCACCTGGTCAATTCTGTTAAGTACATTCAAAACCATGATATGCGTGGGATACTACATACAACGACATTGGAAAGAACAAGCGACTTTCATAAACCATATGCGTGCAATACACAATTATGCAATGAAAAAGAAGGGCATAAAAATAAACAGAAGTAAATAGATGCCTCTATACCACCATAGGAGTACAGAACAAAATTACCCCAGCGAAGTAGGATGAAGAAATAGAAGGGCGTAAACATAAACAAAAGCAAATAGATGTCTCTATCCGATCCATTATTAAATACATGAAACCAGTGTGATCGATATATTTGAAGTACGAAAGGTAAAAAAATATTGTCCAAGAAGAATAATTGGCATCATGTGCAGGATAACAGATAACTACTTTTTTACACTTGGTTGATGATCTTAAACAATAAATACAAGTATCCGGATCCATGTAGAAGTGGATCTTGGAAAATTTTAGATCTTTGTATTATACCATAAAAGAGTGCAGAGATTCATCTACACTGAGTCTGAATAGAAATCATGGCCAACTAATTAGAAGTAAATTTAAATTTCTTGAAAACTAGACCCCACAAGCTTGGCAAGCATATGGCTTATCAATCCATCTAAATGGTAACCATATGAAAATTGTTAAATAAATAATGGAGACTTAGGAAATAATGATCATTTACGTTTACTACCACAATTAAAAACAGTAGCAGCATCACAAAAAACTATATATTGATTTATAAATTTGTGGGCTACTACAAAATTTCCTGCACAACACATTTCAGTTTGAGACACGTACACAGTAAATAAATGGTCACCAAATACTTTGGGATCACACTATACTTGAAATAAGTGCTAGCTGAAGCACTACCTTGACAAACATCCCTGTCTAATTGGTAGCAAGATATATAGAATAAGTGCATAGTAAATTCCACATACGCTATTTTTCTAGTCAAAGAAACTAGGACAAATTAGAATTACAGAAAAAATCCTATGTCCTGGCCTCTAAGCCCCGTTTGGGCTCCATTTTATCCAAAATGCATTTTTCTCTCTCCTCTTTTTATCCACAGATTCTTCAGTAAAATAATATTACACATAAACCCAAAAGTTTTCTTTCTTTTTTAACCATACACTCTTCAATAAATTTAAGTTGCACTGCATTGTAAATGAACAATTATGCAATTTGTTTGCATTCTCTGTTTCTCGCACTGTATATATAGATTATCTTGTACCCTTGCATAAAAAACAGGAAGTCATTTAATAACAGATTCATTTGGAGGTGGCGTAGTGTTGGTATGTTTTTGCAAACAGATTGGAAAAACAATTCAATTATGCATCCAGTGACCAAAAAACATTCCTTACACAATAACTAGAAACAAAAACAAAGTTGCGGTTTCTGTTAAACAAATATGGTTTCCGTAATAACTTCATGGTTTCAACAACTCATCTAAAAAGCATGAACATAACATCATCCAGAGGTAGTAATGCTTAATAGCATTCGAAAGGAACAAAATTTCATTTTGGCTTCACCACGAAGTTCAAATTATAACTGGCTAACTGCAATCAGCCAAAGCAACAGATATTCCATTTTCTTGAAGAAAATGAAAACATTTGAACACAATTTCCATTTAAGACAAACAAGCTCTACTCTGTTTTCATATTTAAGGTATTTACTACTATTAAAGATCCATTTTCTAATTGATATCTACCAACACTCGCATGCACCACAAGGTGCTTTAGAGTAGACGAGGAGGTTAAAAATGACATCATGGCTATTAGATATGTAAACTAAAAATCACAACTAAAATAACTAGTTCACCACCTGGTTCTTTTACAAAAGATAGAGATGGCACAGCAGGAGTTTTGAAGTCTAAAAAATAATAAAAATTGAAGGGTTTCGATTCTGGTAAATCGACTATTTGTGTCTATGGATTCAGGTTCCGGACTCGAGGCATAGACATATGAAAGGTTGTGCATTGTGTCCATTGGATATTTGTCTGGCTATAAGTAGCTGACTAGAAAGTATAAAATCAAAGGATGCAACAAGGGCAAAGCAAACAAAATATAATATAGTTATCCATCAGATAATTTTTGGCAGGATAGAAAAAAGAAAATAAAGGATAAAAAGACTCAAATTTTACTAAAACTACCATGTTACTAATGGCTTTTGACAATCTAACCTTAAAGTATATCCCTCACCTATAATAATGAGCTAAAAATATTCTGATATTATTTTTTTCTCTTTAAATGTCATTCGTACATGAAACTTAGACTAAAAGACTCTGTTTACTAACAGTTTAGATTTACACCATCTCTTCACAAGCTAGTATACTATCTTTAAAAGAACAATTTGAGAGAAGCAAGCAGCATTATTTATTTCCGAAGTTTCTGGTCATATTTCCTTAAGTGAAAATTATGCAACTTGATTGGGATTTTCATATTTTCAGGGCAAAATATCACATTAATATTTTTCTATTTTCATACTGTTTTCAAATGTCAGAAGTATATTAATTAACATTGCCATTTTTGTTCGTAATCTAAATGCAAGAATTGATGTTTCTCTATAATTTGCTCTCTTCGGGTCTCACCAGTCAAAAGTTCCCTATTATGGGTATGTACTGACTACTGAGGAAAGCTCTAAGATTTCATCATCTCAATAATAGTGGCGTTTGGTCCCAGTTGCTGCTCTTGAGAAAATGACAAGTGAATATTATCCAGACATAAACGATGGTAATATGGGAAACAATTGTAACTATTCAGCCAATGCACAGATATAGTTCCATAATAAAACTGTTCAAATGAAAATTTTCATGTTATATGTCACCTTGACAATGCTTTCTAATGGATTTTGCAGATATTTGTACTCTTGCTTAATATCATTCAATGCCAGGCAACACCTACAAAAATAAATTACAAAGTTGAAGGTAACAATTTCCATCAATAGAGATAAAAGAATGAAATTCAAAGATTAATATGCAAGATACTGATTCTTATGCCATAATTAATGTGCCTCTAGTGAAAAATATTTTGTACGGTCTTGACAAATTTCCTTTATAAGAGAATATGTTTAGACAAGCATAAAGAGTAGCAGCTAAGGATAAAATGGTACAAAATTAAAGAAAATGTGTTTGTGAAGAAAGTGATGAAAATATGTTCTCACAAAGACGAGGAAAATCAAGAAAATCCTCACTGAGAATGCTAACCATGACAGTTCCTGACATTCTAATTATAGTCAGTAATCCCAATGCTTCCATTGAGTAAATTTACTGAAAGTTATTATTCACTCCCTCCATTTGGTACCAGAAGAGCTGACTGACTGGTTTGGAATAAAGCTAACTCTTGCTTATACACTCCCTTTCTTCTTATTATTTGATAGGGTGCCCCTTTCCCTTTTGATAGCTTTCAAAGCTTCATCCCTTGTGGTTGAACCATCATTTTTAGGATTGTTTCTACCCAATTCGCTACACCTGTAGTTCAGTTCCCAGTGGATTTACCATGATCAAAAAGGCAGGAATACAAGCATGGGTTTCATGACCAATTAAGGCCAGGAACGACAGCAGCATAGCCATGTTCACTGGAGTCAATACTGAGTCTTGAAAAACAAATAATTTCCTGCTTTGTCCTCCCAAGATTTTCTGCTCTGCATGAACTCACCCTACTGGAAATTAAGAAATTTCAAGGAAGAGGGTGGAGGTGTTAAACTTTGACCCGTTAAAAAGAATATACTTGTGGCATTAACATAGTGGAGCTTAGAATAATTTTGCATGCCACATTGTGATTAAGTTTTGATATTTTTAAAACAAAATAAAATGAGAAGAAGAAAGCCCGCAATATGAGTTCTAGAAAAAGTAAAGCCTACCTGTGTCATTATATCTATATGTGCATTTGAATTGCGCTGCATAATCCTTTTGTCAATAGTAGTGATCAATTTTCTCTGGTTCTTTTGCATGTAGTGTATGTAAACATTTTTTAGAGTGGATTCACACATCTAGTAGATGCAATAAAGAGTTAACTAATTTGCCTATTGAACATTATCCTATGCGACTAAGAAGCTACTTGAGGACTAGAAGTGAGATAACCATAAGGTTAATGACTCTCAGATACAATGCTCAAATCCACATGATAATAGAAATTAATGATGCTAACCGTGGTTGGTTAAAGAAGAGGAGAAACATAAGTCACATTACTCTTCTTAATTATTTTAAGAAGAGGAGAAACATAAGTCACATCTAGTAGATGCAATAAAGAGTTAACTAATTTGCCTATCGAACATTATCCTATGCGACTAAGAAGCTAATTGAGGACTAGAAGTGAGATAACCATAAGGTTAATGACTCGCGGATACAACGCTCAGATCCACGTGATAATAGAACTTAATGATGCTAACCGTGGTTGGTTAAAGAAGAGGAGAAACATAAGTCACATTACTCTTCTTAATTATTTTATCAACACTGACATTGGCCAACCTGTCAGTTAATGCTAATAATAATTATTTGCATTTTTAATACCATGCAAGCTGCTATAGACAAAGCATGCCATTTACTCGAGCTGCAAGAGTAAAGGAATTCGTCAACTCCCACTTAAATTCAATTTCTTCTTTATTAACACCAGAAAAGCCGAGCCGGTGTGATAACGGAATGGTGCAGCACAGGATGATCAAAATGGTCAAGAAAAATGAACTAAATATGTTCGTATAATCAGAAAAGCCAAAGGGTCAACAGGTCAGGGTTAAGACTATCCTAGGAATAGAGGGATAAGATTTCTGCCTCCCAGGAAGGAGAGATGGGACGATGAAAGCATATAGTTCCTGCTCTTTAACCACTGACATGGATGCCCAGCCCAACTTGGTCGGTTGAAGCAGTCATCACTTTTATAAACAATACGGGAAAAACTTCAGTCAATGTGATGGTCCGGGCACAGTGCTGTCATAAAAGGAGAGAACAAAGGCTGACATCTCTTTTTTGAACTGAAATGCTTGAGCTGGAGCTTTGGACTCGACGACCATGGAGGGGTGACCGACCTAACAAATTCACGTTTTTCGAAAGGAACTAAGGTTTTTTGGCTATTGGAAGAACAGGTATACAAACCATTTCTTCTCTCCTCATATTTCTTTTTGATGTTCCTTACCAGTAGTCAGTGTACTCGTTTATCCCCCCCCCCAACCCCCAAACAAAAAATCCCAAGCATTAAACTCAGTAAAAATTAATGGCACTAAACCTAATAAGCCAAATAGTTTAGGCATATACCAACCTGTTGCATTTGTCATTTTATAACTTTTAAATTATAGCAGCAAGGATTTACTAAGTTCTCCTAAAACGAATCACAAAATAACAAACATAATTCTCCAGAATGAAAGCAAATAAGGATTTCGGGCAAGTTATGGGTTTGCTTAAAGATAAAGGTTTCTTACCGATCTCTGGATTTATCATCAATAGCCTGGCTCATATAAGTGCATGCATTTCTCAAGCGACAAGCTCCAATGCTGTCAATTACATTCCAGGACGTGAACACAATAATTTCAACATCAAGATAACAGTTACAGGCAAATGCCAGACACATAAAAGCAATATTGGAGTATTGCATTAGAATAAGGCCACTTGTACAATGCTTATGCACAACTTGGTTGACAACAAGTGTGTTGAAAAAATCATAGCCATTGATTTTAAAAACAGTTTTTCAAATAAATGGACGTGATGTTTGCCAACTCATGCATTGTAAACCAAGTTGTAAAATAAATTGTACAAGTAGCATGATTGATTTCATTAATGCAATCTCCCAGAAACTCCAGGTATCTTTGGAAAATCTGTGGTGTCAACATACAACTACAGATTCCTTAGAAGAACTTAAGCTGAAATAGAGAGGGATTTAAATCTACCCATGCATTAAAACATTATCTCTGTAAACTGTTTTAATATATCAAAGCAGTTCTAGGTCTTAAAACAATGCTTAATAAACAAAAACCAGCCATTATATTACCATGCAGCACTTCCTTTGAGCTTGATACAATGCACATACATTTGATTGTAGTCCACAAGCGATTGATCTCTATTGACAACCAAGAAAAAAAAATGATTTCAGAAAATAAAGTTCCCTACAAAAACATAAAAGTAAAGAAATGCTGTTTGATATCATAATAGGAACTTACATAGCTTTTGCCATTTCATTCACAACTTTACGAGCATCGGCTAAAAATACAGGTATAAGTTCCACAAAAAAGAACGGACCGTTTTCCTCCTTCAAAGAATGACAATGCCGAAAATAGTCATCAACCAAACCCTGCAAGCAGTGAAAATTGATCGTTATCGACTGAAAAATGAAATATATCCAATAAATCAAATATTTTGTCTTTGACAAGACAAATGATAAGATACCCTATTTTCACTATAAAATTAAACTCATTCCAGAACCCCCTACCTCTATTTTTCTACAATGAGTTAAAAGAAAAAGGAAAATCCAATTGGAAAAGCTACAAAAACAAATTTCTTTTCCGCAAACTTAATTTATGATTTGATGCATTTCCTACACAAGCGTGGGATAGGGAATAATCCGGATAGGAGTTCAAATATTCGCTAAAACAGTTCCTGAATCAATTGCCAACAACAGATATGTTAAAATGCTAGCACGGATAAATATATAAATATATACATTGATACAAACGGGTAAACAATTGCATATCAAGCAACTAAATGTATAAACACATATACGAATGCAATCTCACGTATATACAAATATGAATGTTTTTCAGGATACACAAACATATAAATTACCAACATCGGATATTACTCACCCGAATCTAATTCAACAAACCGAAAAAAAATATTAATAATAACTGAATTTCCAGTTCGAATTTTTCCGTTCTCAAATAATCAACTTCAATGCTATCAAAAATTAAATCAAACCCAACTTAAACCAAATTCGAAGGTTAAAAGTTTTAAATTAAATTAAATTAAAAAGAAGAGGAAAATTACTTGCTGTTGGAGTTCGCCAATGCTATTAATCAGCAACTGGTTGAGAGACTTTGTATCCAGATTCTTGTAATCCATGGCTCAACAGTCCGACGTGTGACACACAACAAACGAGAAATAGTACTGTTCTAGACTTCTAGTACATATGCATGGAAGGCGGTTCGGTTCAGGTGATGTTTCCTTCAAAAATGGCGTAAAATGCGAAATAACTTTGATTTGAAAGGCTGTTCTCATACACAGATCTTTATCTTCTTTTCAAAGTAGTCAAATTAACACTAGTTTTCGTCAAATTACTCTCTTTTATTACTTTCTTAGAATACCTATTAACACTTTATATTTAAAGATCAACTATATTAGCATATGCCCGTTTTGGTATTTTCACTCTATTTCAATTATTCTTTTCAACCATAAGTGTGTGATTAAAGGCCTATTTGGTACTGATTCTTCGAATCAATTTTTTGATCGGTATAGAAAAATGTGAATCCTACTTATGAGTGAAGAAATCAAAAATGACTACTGACGGTATTAAATAATAATCAAAAATTAATTTTTTGGCTTGAAAATTAGAACCAAACAGGAGCTAAAACTTTTTAGAATTAGCTTTTCAAGTATTGCTTGTTTTTTAAATAGTTTTCTTCCCGTCAAATAGTAGTATTGATATCTTGAAAATGTCAAAAATTGTAAGTAGTAATCGGTTCATCTAATAGTTCGGAATAGTCGTGGTTCGATCGGTTTGTTTACGAAGAAAATAAAATTGAAGTGAGAAAAAATAGTTATTTATAATGTAACAAATTGTCCATACGCAATTATCCAAATAACGTGACCAAAATTTTAAATTACTAATGCAAATCTATGCACAAACAAAAAAAGCCTCGTTCAATGCACAGGACTAGGCTTTGCAGTTTGAAGAAATGTAAAAGATGTTACATTGCATGCTTTAGATTGAGTTTATCGTAGTGTTTTAAAAAAATTAAAATGGATTAATTGGTCCATATTCACTAGCCTCAATATTAATATTAAAAAAAGGGGTGGTCAAAATTGATTATTGGTTCTTGTTCGATTTTTTGGTTTCGATTCTTTTATCCATCCTTGTTAGTAGTGTCAAACTATATAAAAATAACCCTTGCGAGTTAAGATGATTATGTAAAGATAAATAATTGGACCAAAATTTTATTACTTTTTTCAATGTATAGGACTTGAGCTAATAATAATCTACATTAATATCACAATTATCGTAATTAGATGAAACAATGTCCCTCAAGTTTGAAGGGTTAGGGAATATATGGTGGTTTTGTGCATCTCATAAGTGCCCAATTCATCCCCATGGAAGAAAGGGTGGTGCTTGATTTGATTGCTGCATCACCCATCATAAACCCCATTCTCTTTTGGGATCCTTGTTCAAGAGTTGGCTTATCAAATCCTTAGCCGTCGAGTTTGAGTTACCACACTTTAACGATAAATCAAAATCTGTCAACATTAAGTGACCATTCGATCTTACTAAAATATTTTCGGGCTTCAAATCGCGATAAATTATCACTAACACGTGTAGGTATCTAGAGTGGCTACCACTTCAGATGCATAGTACCTGATAATTAACAATAAAAATCATTAAATCGTGTTTATACATTATTATTTAATAATTTCTAAAATTAATCAATTAATATTTTAATATTTTCTTAACTTATTCTAGTTGTATTATCTCACACGGTCAACCTTATTGGTCCATACTGAAAATGACCACGTAACAGAATAATTTTGAACCAACTTTTTGTACTAAAATTTATATCCCGGTTCACTCAATATTGACTTTACGATTAGGGTGTGTTTGTTTGATAGTACACCCTTTTTCATGAAAAATGAAAAATTAATATTATTTTTCAACTTTTGTAGTATTTGATAGGTGAAATTTTCCATGAAAAATGAATTTCATCTTTCTTGGCCACATCAGCATTTTCCATGAAAACCTTGAATTCTAATTCTCACCAAAATGGTGAGAATTAGAATTCTCGATTACTGTAGCAATTTTTTAATTTTTTCTATTATTTAATTATTATTATTTTTTTATTTTTATTTTTTTACAATGGAAATAAGTTTTAAGAATTATTGTAAAAAAAAATTTCCTTTAACTGACAATTTCCATTTAAAACAAAGTCAAACGAATACCAAAAAATATATTATTTTCTTGATTGATTTTTTTTGTTGGCAATGAAAATAAATTTCATACCCAATACCAGTAAATTATATCCCTTTAATTAACAATTTTCATTTAAAACAAAGCCAAACGTACATCAAAAAGCATTTTTATTTCCATATTTTTCATGTGGAAAATTATATCAATTAAACACAATAATTTATAATTCCCAGAAAAATAATTTATAGGCAATTCAATTCCCTAGAATTCGTTTTCAATTCAATTTAATTTCATCTTTACAATCAAACGGATCCTTATTTTAGCATGTAATAATTAACAAAATCATTTTTTTTTCCCTAATAATTAACTTTTTAAATGAGGATGTACTACAACATAGCTACGTAAATTTAAATTTCACAAAAAATGAGGATGTGCAGAAGAGTGAGGATCGTGAACAAATACTTACCGGACAGCAACGTCGTCGAACCTTTTTTCGGGTTGTTGTTGCCGGAGAATGTTGAGGTCGCCACCGGGACAAAAATTGGTCAACGAACAAGACCACCTAGGACAATCCAATATGGTACAGAGTGAGGGCAAAAATGGGTGGTCCAACATTTCAAGTATTTCCTTCTCTATCCCTGCCCTACTCTCTTTGTTCCTATATGCCAATTCCTTTTTGTCCATAACCTTGGCTGCAAACATGCGCCCTTTAGACCCTTTGAGCTCCACAAGATACACAGTGCCTATGTCACCACTTCCAAGCTTCTTAATGAAGGCGAAGTCATCAAGTGTTGCAATGTGCATACTGTGGACATCAGTCGAGGTGGCCGAGGTGGAGATAGGAGATTAGGAGTGTTATCGAGGCTATCGGCTCTCTTTCATGGTGGAGCAATTTGGTGCGAAGAAAGACGAATGATATATAAAGAAATCAAGAATGTTTCGGGGCGGCAATATAGGGTGGCTCAGTGGCAGATCTAGGTGGTGGCGAGTTAGGACTGGATTCGTCGGAAGCAATTTTTATTTTTTTTTAATTTTTGACAATAGATTAATGTTTTAGCTTATATTACTGATAATTCTTTCTTATTTGATATTTTCCTTTTAGCCGAAATGGTTAGGGCTTATACTTACATTTTGCAAGTCTCAGTTTCGAATCTCTTCATAGCCAATTAAATGTGCAAATTTTTTAGTTTTATAATTTCTACCAAAATTAATGCTATAGGAAAGACTTGGATGAGATTCGAACTGTGAACTCTTATTCTAATCATTGAACGCTTGATCACTCTGGCATCCTTGGCTTTTGAAACTTAATTCAACAAAATAATATATATTACATTTATTGGGTTTAATAAAATTATAAAGATTCAAAATCATGTTCTTCCTTTAAATTATACAAAATTTGGCAACAATGTCATTTGGTGAATATACGATTTATTCTTATAACAAAATAATTGTTATATTTAAATTTTAGGCCTTGTTTTATTTTCATTTTTTTTTTCAAAATACATTTTTATCTATCTTATTTTTAACCATATATTCTTCAATAAAATAATATTATACCTAAATTCAGAATTTTTTCTTTATTTTTAACCTCACGTTCTCCATGAAATCACTATTTCAAAATACATTTTTTGCTTAAAAAAAAGGACATCAAACGGACTTTTAATACTTTATTACGGCTGACGGTCGACAATCAATGATCGCCCGTGCTGACTCAAAATCCTGAATTCGCCACCGGTGGCTGGATCACTCTGCCGACTGTTTGAATGGAGCTAGTTTATTATTCAAAACCCCATGATTAATAATAATTATTGTAGACGTCATAACCCTGTTGGAATCTTCAGTAGATAGTAAGAAGTAGAAACCAAATCCTATTATTACTTGGCCATGTACGAAGACCGTCAAATTGATCAATTGTCAAGAAAGGTACGAGTTTAATAGTCGAAAGCACGACAATACTGATGTCATCATGTTAACTTCGAAGCAAAAGGAAATGAATTAGTGTTGATGTCATAATTGTGCATAAGTGTTGAACTAGGTTTCGGATAGCAGTGGTTGGCGACGCTTACCAAGCCTTCTTCAACCCGATTTGCAGTGGTCATGCCTTGTAGGCAGTGTTCGAAAATGCGCGCAAATGCTTCGAGCATTTCTGAAACGTCCTGTATATGGAGTATGCTCATTAAAATGCGGTCAATCTATTTTGTTGACCATATATGCTCGTTTAAACACCAAAATATGCACGCATTTGTGTTAAAAATTGTGTCCAGAGTTCAACCCATTTTTATCACTCAAAAAAAGCGAATTGAGCCCAACAAATATCAAATTAGCCCAAATCATCCAAACTCATGAATAATATAGTATTTATGATTTTGAGTAATATATATTTTAAAATTTGAAGAATATATATAAAGCTCAAAGAATGCATTATTCTGTTTATTTATTAGTTTAAATATTTAAAATAATATTAAAAATTGAAAAATGCATAATTACATGTATCCTTCGCATAGGCACACATATGCTTGTAATGCTTGATACTTGATCGAAACTTAATGCCACACATTTTATAACCTTTCTTGTAGCGATAATTAAAGTTGTACTTAAATAGTTAGTTACAATAAACCATTACATGATTATATGTCGATTTTCATTCAGAATTAAGGTCTGAGTCTGATAATGGTCAAGGGGACCATAAGACAATATGTGGTCATCGGCTTTGTGATTGAGCAATGGTGTTAGTGGTCATGCCATGTTTCTACCATGTTGGATACTATTTATAACCATTAATAATTAATTAGACTATTATTAAGCAAATGAATGGTGCCATGAGTGACAAAATCAGAAGACCATACTTTTTTGGCAAAATGAAATTTTGTAATAGTTATTTTTTTGAGAATGTGTGGTAAAAAAATATAAAAACAGGATTTACGCGCAAAATTATTTAATAGGAAAATATGTGATTGAAAATGAGGAAAAAAGAGATAATGACGCTCAAATAGGGACTATATCTTAGACGATGCTGTTGAAAGCGGCGGCACGATTAAATTAGTATGTTTTAGTTAAATATTTGTGAATATAATAAGCCATAAATATTACACTCTTGAAGAAAATTCGATTTTGTTAAAAAGTATTACTGTTAATCAATCAAAATATACATTCTTTGATATTTCCGAGTGTGTGCTTTGGTCACTTACGCATCTCAAGAAAGATATCTTTAATTAATCGATCTTGACAATTCTTTGAATTCTTATAAACGACTCACACAGATAACTTTTAAGTAATAAATTATGCCAATTTGAACTCAAGATTTCTATGTACATTATAACATAAAAATAAACGAAAAATCCATGTAATTACCACTTAACAGATCAACGGCAAAGGACTAAAATGAACAAAGTAAAGCTTTTTGTAGATAAAGATTATGTTTCACCAGTTTCTAAACTTGGAAAACCTTTATTAAATAAACTCATAAAATTTCCAGATTCTTTTATTAATATGGTAAAGTCAAATATTCAGTGTCTTCCCAACTGTTGCAGTCTAGTTTAGTTTAGATGGTCACCAAGTTTGTGCAGCTCATAAGGTGCTGGGTGAAAAGAAGATTAAACGCACCAATTCAAGTTCGGCCGACAGGAAAAAAAGTTAAAATCCTTATTTACTGCTTACTCATGTCTAGTACGATATATTGAATATGCCTACAAGTTCTAGAGTTCAAATAATATAATTCGAGTACTAATTACAAAATGCAATACAAAATAAATAATGTCAATTATTCTTTATAATGATATATCCATAAATAGAAGTCAGATAAATTGTACATACAAGAATAGGATGTTTCAATATTGACTCATATACCAGATCACCAAGGATTTAAGCTGGAACTTCAATAGGGCAGAAAATGAAGACAAAAGTAAATAACTATGATACACTTACCAGCCTTGTATCAAATAATTGCAAATGCCATCCCTTCTCTTCGAGATGGTGTAAAGATAGTATATGTACAAGCAAGCAGTCGAAGATCAACTATACTTCTGTTGGGGTGACAAGACACCATCTCATGGTCATACTATGTAGGACTTCTGGGAACTCTTTGGGCCACGCTTTCTCCTAGGATTGGAACTGATTGCACAGGACAAGGCATTGACAAGGTCAGAATCCTCTTCGGTAATCAAAATTTTAGCAGCACTGGGATCCGCCAGTAGAAGTTTTGCGACAAGGTATCCCGCAATAGACCAGGTCTGAAAAAGATGTGCCTGCTTCCCTATGAAGCGAGCTCTTTTGGTATCGTAATATTCAGGCCACTTGTCTTTTGATATGCGCTTCTCTGCAACCTCAACGGCTCTAGCTGCAATTTCTGGTCTATCCATTTTAATGCATGCAACGGTGAGCTGCAACCGATCGAGTTAAATCTCATGTGTTAGTGTTGAAGACTATAATTTAAATTGAATAAATAAATGTGTCTCATATCACAACTTAAGCTTTTAAATGAAATGATTAAACATGGCACCAGAACATGCAACCACCACCCAATTTCAGAAATTGTAAATGCGTAAAAGCTTTCATAAAAATGAATTTCGACAGTACGTAAAAGGGCATAACTAAGACTAAATTTAGATCAATAATTTTGTCCCCACTCTATTAGCTTAAACTTGATTATGTTGTTCCACGTTGAAACTGAATTGCAATTTAACGGAGGCTCGTACTCATTTTGAAACGAAGAGGACACTGCTTATTTAATTAGGATAATGCAGCAGTAAATACGACGAGACACCTCAGTCAAGATTAAAAACAAATTTTACCTGCCAAAGCAGAGTTGGCCATGCACCTCCATTGTGGTATGACCAGGGCCTGCATCAGGAACAACAAAAATTTATGACAAGGCAAAGAATACGAATCAAGAATAATAGACACTCGAAAACTAAGAACGAAGGTTAATTTAAGCAACTAAGAATTACGTGTTTTTGGGATCGCAGCCGGTGATGATCTGCCACTCCTGGCCTTCAAGTGCAGGATAACATATTTTAAACGGCATATCTGCAACCAAATCCAACCATTTAGCTTCAATAAGATCCAATATAGCATTTGATTGATCCACAGTTGCAAGGCTACTGACAATAGCCCACAAATTTCCAAGAGAAAAGAACCGGAAATCCATGTGAGCAGGCTGTAAATTCCCAATCAGATAGCCTCCTTTATTTGGCATCCATTCCACTAACCAAGGAGAAATTTGATCTGGGTAAATATTGAATTTGTTAACAGCATCGTATGAGTACTCTTCGGTCTTGTAGCGGTAAATCTCGTTAAGTTTTCTCATATCGATCCAATAATACTCCCTTATATGAAATGACAGTGCAAGGAGGCGATTGTTTAAAGCACGGACAAGATCAGCTGATCCATCCTCTGGTGCAAGCATTTCACGTGCACAGATTAGTGCTGAATAGAATAGCGCCTGAAACCACATTTGAGATCATTTATTTCTAAGCATGCCACAGATAACATAGAAACTCCCAAAATACAATTTCCCTGAAATCCTAGTAATTCTACCACGTCAATTAGGCTTCTAGCAGTATATGACAAATGAACCATCTGTAACCCTCAGTTTTCCCTTATAAAATGGTCCACAAGGTTTCAGTATCCTTGATCTTAAAATTATAAAATCCTCATATCCTTATTTTGCTGTCTGAACCATGCATGCTCTGATAAACTCGAAAATACATAATAACGTACTTTAACTTCTACAGATATTAAATCCATTATTAATTTTTCCCACAACCAATAATTTGAGTTTTCTTGATAAGATTACAACATTATGATCATAATAAATTAAAGAAAAGCTATAATATAGACATTGATATAAAAAACAGAAGGAATCTTAGCAGGTCACGGGAAGAAGTAGGACCATATCATCAAACTTCACATTGAATTTTCCAGACCAACAAATAGTTTAAATAGGATTTCTATCAAATAACACAACTATAATTCAAAAAGAAATAAATAAATAAATACTTAGGAGGTTTTTCGGTACTCATTCTAAAAATATAAAATGCACATGTAACATGCATGTGGACCCCCTTTGGCAGATAGGAGAAGGAAAGGGAATTAAAGCAGCTCTCTATTCATACTTATTTTTTTGCAATTACTGGCCAAGAGAATTGAATGAAACATATTTAGAAAACAATGATTCGAATGACTTCCTTGCCTGAATCTCCAAAGGATGACCATGAATTCCCATACGGCGATCTATCATGCAAGAACCATCAGTCACTAATAATGTCGGAAACATATCAAATCCATCAGCAAGACATAGCCTTAATATCATCTTAATTCCAGTTTGGACATCAATTCTCTCCTGAACAGATAAATCTCCAGAACATTTACCATATGCACGTAACAAAATAATCCACCATAATCCTGAGAATCACACCACAAGCAAAGGAACTATTTTTGAATACATTATCCAAAAATTATTTTTTCCTATAGATGTAACTAAATCAAATGTCCTGTCGTTACCAGAATCAACTGGTGCAACCCTGCCAATTGCTGCCTCACCAAAGTCAGGATCCAGAATCTCTTCCGTTGCAGAGTCATCACCATCCAGAGGAACTGTGCGCACTTTAAAACTGGCAGGCATCAGCCCTTGACCAGGGCTATGACAGTCCACAGTCTTTTCCCAGCTCTGCAAAATGGGAGGTGTTTAAACTCATCCATTTTTTTCCTTCAAAGCATGAGCTTCACACAAATAATTTTAAGGCACTTGTTCGATATGCACTAAATATACCATCATCGCTTTCTATGCTAGATCAAAAACCTGTTACTGTTGTTCCTAATAGCACTGATTCCTAATAGCGCTGATTCATTGTCGCACGTGCAGTAATTACTGTTGTTCCTAATAGCACTGATTCATTGTCACACTGTTTTGTCAATCGCAAGTTTTCAACTACATAGAAAGAAATAGGCTGCAATTTATATTTTTCCATTAATCTATCCTTTATTGACAGAATGACAGTGGATTTTATGAAGATTTATATTACTAATCTCCAATTCCGATACATGGGGAGAAATCCAAATTAAGATTGTTAGAATGACAAGGTTTATTTTTAATTTTTTTCATTTGCTAGGATGTTAAACCCTTAATGATATTGCGGCTAGATGATGGAAACAGCAACCACTTGGTAGTACATAAATAGTTAGTTTCCAGGTTCAATGAAAATGAGCATCACCTGGAGGTTGACAAAATAGGAGAATCTTCTTAAAATCCTCATAAGAAATTAAAATTTATCATGCCTGTTCAAGATAAAAATATCTCTATTAAAATGACAAAGCCAAACATTGAACATCCAGAATATATAAATCAACATAAATAGATTTCCTTAATGATCAATAAGTAGAAAAATTTAACATGGTTACTACTGGAACGGAATGGAAATAATTTGCTCTTCTTAAAATACAAAATTATAATAGTGATGAAGTGGTTCAATGACCACAATTAGTTGAATTGATAAAGACGGAGAATTCATTTTTCGTGTAACAAAGACAAGTCATTACTCAAGCATTCCAAGACAAGCCAGAATAGTTAAGCAATAATTTGGCAGGAAAATAATCAGTAGATCAGAACAATCATGTCTACCTGTAGCTGAAGTGTGTGAAGGATAAAGTTGCAAACAAGATCATATTCTCCCTTCAGAAGAAAAGCTATACCAGAAGGTATGAAGTCTCGAATAAAGACCTGGTCATAGTTCAGAACATTGGAACTACTCGGGTCCTTTGCAGCAATTGTCCCTATTGGGTTGCCACAATAATAAACAATAGATTCCCTTAGTAGCTCCCATGCTTCATCCTCAACTGAATCAGCAATAACTGTTTGCAAGGTATCTCGTACAGAGCCATTTTCAGGTAAATTACTATTGGACGTCACCTCTTTCTTCGAACTGATTTCTTTGAATTCAAGAACATTCGGCGTATTTACATTCACTGTATAGAACTCCTTCGCATTATCCACAAACCATGCTCCATTTCCACCCTCCGAACTTATCCCATTTGCACTCTGAGGTCGTTGGCATTTGCATTTTGCATACCGTTTTTGGGTTGTTGCAACATTTCCACTTGAGACGTGAGAAAACTGAGGAGATATACTAATGCTACAGTTGAGAACTTTCGAATGACTCGCTCTCTTTCTATATTTTTCTGAGGTTCTAGATTCTGACAGCGATTTGCTAAAATAAGGTCCAGAACTAAAAAGGAGAGGGACAAGCCCATCACAAACTCGCATAATTGCTTCAGATGCAGCCATTAACACAATGCGACCTCGATGTAAATGGCAAATGCTCAAAAGTCAACGAAGAAGAAATCCGACACCCCACTTCGATTTCAAATGCCTAAAAGAGCAGATAAAAGTGACAATGACTATCGATATGTGTGATCAGAATAAATGCGAGCACACTCCACAACTTCTAAATGATAAGAAATTGTTGTCATTCAATATGAATACGCACGAAGACTTCGTTAAAGAAGAATATATATCATTGCGTTTAAGTAAAATAATTCTAGGAAACAAACGTGCAAAATAAATTAATTTATTCACGCCAATAAATGATGAATAAATCAAGCCAGAGGGTTTTCCCAATACCAAAAAAGAAAAATCGACCAAGTTACTTTAACAAAAAATTTCAGCTTACTACACAAGAAATAACAAGAACATGCCCAAAATACCAGATATATAAGCATCAACCTACGCAAATCTTCATTAAAACTCAGATATTCCAAACTTCAGCATCTTTTCCACATAATCTTTAAAAATTGCTGATTGAAAATTTCATTCTCCAAAAAGAATAAAAGAAAATAAACTATTACAAAATAACCCCAGATATAAAATAAATAAATACCTTATAACAACAGTAACTGGAATTTTGTGGGTCGTCGAGACTTATCACAGTTTTTGATGGAAAAAATCTGGGATTTTTAAGGAAAGTAATGGGGGCGTGAAACTCACGTGAATACGGAAATGAGCCAATGGCAGACTTCAATCGCTCTCCGTCACAGAAATATATTTGACGTGCGTGAAAATCATTGATTATATTTATTTTTTATGAACATTCTCTATTGTGCATGTTTGGTAAGTGATGCCCAGATTTTTTAGGGAATGATGAAAAATTGATATCCGTTTTAACTTCATAGGCTATAAGTTTAAGATTGAAGAATTAAATCCAGACCACAATTGAAGTGGACCAATTATATTGGGTGTTTAGAGGTAATCAGTCCATTGGGCTAGATGCTCAATACCCAACTTTGAGGTAATTTGAAAATCACAAGAAAAGATAAATAAATAAATCGATATATTTTCTTCAACTTCCTTATCCCATCTTAGATGAGCTCTATCTCTTGAATTAACATAATATTGCAAATCTTCTATTCTAATCTTGCAAGACTCCTGAGAAATCCATTCTCCCCATTAAGCCTATAAATTGGAGCATTCACCCGTCATTTTAATTCACACCAAAAACAAGAGAAACTCCCCTCCTATTTAGAGCAAAACAAATCCTCCTCTGCCTTCTTTGTGAAATTGTCTTTATGACTGATAATGACCTTTAAATTAGAGATACTTTTGTGGTGTGGATCGAGTTTTTGAGCCAAATCAAAAAGGGGAAAATCATTCTTCATTTTTCAGTTTTTGGTTTTTAATTTTCTTGAAGTTAATTTTTGCAAATCCTACATTAATTAGTTCTTTTGTTTGATTTATAGGTGGGTTAGCTTCACAATTTGTATCAGAGCTTGGTGGTACTGAAAATCTGGCCAAAAATCGACCAGAAAATCGACAGAAAACAGAAAATCGAACTGCCCAATTTTTTGCACCGAAAAATCGCACCTACAAATGCGATTTCCCGTCAATCCAGAAGTCCATTGGTAAAACGGAGACTAGGGTTAAAACGTGCAGGTGGAGGCGGCGCGTGATCCCGGATGAGGCGCATGGCAATGGCGCGTGAGAGCATGTGGATCCAATTTTGGAGAAGTTATTTTCAAGCAGTTTATTCCTCACATTATTTCTAACATTTTTTGTGTTGGAAGTTTTCTGTTTCAGGTTACACGGAAAAAGTTGGACGATTTTGCGTTTGGTGGATCAACGGTCGAAATCGTCACATATTTACTGAATTACTTTAGACAAAAATTGTAGCCCTAAGGCAGTAAATTCGCATCTCTCGTAATTTACAGACTCAGACAAGTCCACTTTGGTAAATTGACTGAAACCTTTCATTATTGCAATAGCAGATCATCGTGTGGAGTGATCATTAGTATTGGAGTTGTCATTGCTTGGCAACCATTACTTGTTGATAGAACCTACGATTACTTGTCATTATCTGTTTAATTTTCTAAGTGAAATTATTTAGATTAATTTGTTGAACGTCATTGAGTTATCTCGTATTATTTTAGACTTGTACCCGAACTCTTATTTTAGTTCTTCCCTTGATCTGAGAACTCGATTCTCACAAAACCCTGGGGTTCTAGAATAGCATATTATTGTGAAACCATAGAAATCTTGTTACTCCATGTAATCCGTGTGACCTGTGACTTCTACATATTTGAATTTGTGTTTTATGCATTTTTTGGTAAAATGTCAACACATCACTTTGAGTTGGGTTTCTTTAATGGTAAAGGAGATTTTTCAATTTGGCATCAAAAAATGAAAGGTATTCTTGTTCAACAAAAAGTTTCCAAAGCTATTGATAACTCTTTTCCTACAAACTTGACTAATGAAGAAAAAGAGAATATGGATGAATTGGCATACACTTCTATAATATTACATCTGTCTAATGCGGTGTTAAGAAAAGTTGGTAAATTAAAATCAGCTCAAGAACCTTGGGAAAAAATTGGAGGAACTTTATGTGTCTAAGTCAACTCCAAACAATTTTTTTATACTTGAAAGTTTTTTTAGCTTCAAAATCGATTCTTCAAAAGATTTGGATGTCCTTAATAAACTCGTGCAAGATATTACTAACTGTGGTGAAAAAGTATTTGAAAAGTATAAGGCAATAATCTTGTTAAATACTATCCCTGAAACTTATAGAGAAGTTAAAAATGCTATTAAATACGGGAGATGTACTTTGACACCTGAAATTGTCATAGACTCGTTAAGAAGTAAAGAAATGGAAATGCGAGCCAAGAGAGTCGAGAGAAGAAGTGGTGAGGTTCATATAATTAGAGGTAGGTTTCAGTTTAGAACCTGTGATAACCAAAGTAGATACGCGTCCAGTAGTAAAAAGAAAAGTAGAAGTTTATCTAGGTCAAGAAATAAAACTAAAGGTAGAAAATGCTATGGTTGCGGTAAAACTGGACACTTCATTAAAGATTGTTATATTGAGAAAAACAAATAAAAGGAAAAGGCTCATGACGAGGCAAATGTTATTACTTCTTCCGATGAATTTTGTAAAGTATATGTGTTATTAAACACTGAACCGACTGAAGTAAATTTGACTGTGAAATCACATTTAAATGAATGGATACTTGATTCTGGTGCATCATTTCATATTTCATTACATAAAGACTGGTTTGAAAATATGCAAGAATCTAAAAGTGGTCATGTTATTTTGTACAATAATCATGCATATAAAATTGCTGGCATTGGTGATATCACGTTGAAATTTGACACTAGTTATGTGCTTAAATTACATGGAATTAGATATATTCCTGAAATGGTTAGAAATCTTACTTCAGTAGGAGCATTAGAAACTGATGGTTTTACTGGTAAAATTGGAAACAACATACTTAAAATGATTACGGGTGCTCTTGTCACATGTAAACGTACTAAAAGAAACGGTATTTATGTGAACACTGCTGAAATTGTTAAAAATTCAACTTCCTCTATAAATTTGACCAACAGTGATAACACACACAAGTAGCATAATAGATTGGCTCACACAAGTATTAAATGACTTAAACTGCTAAAAGATAAAGGTGCATTTGGAAAAGACTGCGTGTCTAATATGCCTTTTTGTGATCATTGTGTATTTGGTAAACATTATAGGTCATTTTTTCATCTGGTATGCATAAACTACTAAAGTATTGGAATATATTCATACTGATTTATGAGGGCATGCTACTAATCCCACAATGGGTAATAATAGATATTTTATGTCCATAACTGATGATCACTCTCGTAGGGTGTGGGTTTATCTGTTAAATGATCAAACTAAAACCTTTAAAATATGAAAATTACAAGTTGAAACTCAAACTGGCAAAAAGATAAAATATCTAAGGACTGATAATGGCCTAAAGTTCTGTAATAATGATTTTGATGATTTGTGTGAAAAATGTGGAATTACTAGACATAAAACTGTTCCTTATACACCTCAACAAAATGGGGTGGCTGAACGTATAAATCGTACTTTACTTGACAATGTTAGATGTATGATGTTGAGTTCTGAAATTCCTAAATTTTTTTGGGGTGAAACTGTTATCACTGCGTGTTATCTGATTAATTTGACACCATCTACTGCATTAAATGGTGATACTCCATATGAAAAAGGGTATGGTAAATGTGCTGACTATACTATATTAAAAACTTTTGGCTGTGCTGCTTTCTCTTATCAAAATGAGGGAAAACTAAAACCTAGAGTTAGGAAATGTGTTTTTTTAGGATATTCTGAAGGAGTTAAAGGTATAAGGCTTTGGGATAAAAGTCAAAATGGAGTTAAGATCATCATAAGTCGTGATATTACATTTAATAAGTCTGAAATGCTGTGTCTAAAATCAGAAAATGACACCTTGAGAGAAAAACTGTGAGAAAACATTAGTGACGAATCTCAAGTAAATTTAAGGTCCTTAAGTGTTCAACCCCCACCACCTCAATCGAGGTGGAGCATCAAAATCCTGAACTAGAAGATAATCAGAGTGAAAATATTGAGAGAAATGAAGTTATAGAGGAATATCAAGGAGAGCAAAGCCCTTTGTCTTATTACCAGTTAGCTAGAGACACAGTTAGAAGAACACATAGGGTGCCTCAAAGGTTATAGTCTGATTTTGAGCTTGCTTATGCTAGTTATGAAGAACTAGTTGATAGAGAACCAAAAACGTATGAAGAAGCCTTAAGGAGTGCACAATCTGAGGATTGGGTGAAAGCGATGAAAGAAGAGATAAATTTCCTCGATAAGAATCAAACATGGGAATTAGTCCCAACACCTAAAGACAAGTCAACAATTAAGTGTAAATGAGTTTTTAGAATTAAGGAAAGAATTACCAAAGGAGAGGGTTTAAGGTTTAAGGTTAGACTTATGGCCAAAGGTTACACACAAAAGGAAGGGGTAGATTATAATGAGATCTTTTATCTAGTTGTTAAGTATACCACAATTACGACTATGCTTGCATTAGTTGCACATTTCAATTGGGAATTTGAACAACATGATGTTAAAATCGTTTTTTTGCATGGAGAACTTGATGAAAAGATTTTCATGGATTAACCTAAAGGTTTTGAAAATAAACAAAAACATGATCATGTGTGTTTTCTTAAACGCTCTTTGTATCATTTAAAACAATCTCCTAAACAATGATACAAACGTTTTGATTCGTTTGTTAAGGAATGAATTTGATCATTGCTTGTACTATCAAGGTAATGCAAACAATAATGACTGTGTGTTTTTGTTACTATACGTGGATGATATGCTTTTGATTGGTCCCAACTTGAAGTGTTAAATGATGTAAAAACTACTTTAAGTAATGAATTTGATATAAAAGACCTAGGTAATGTTAAAAGAATTTTAGGCATGGAAATTCAAAGAGATAGGTCTAAATCAATTATATTTTTACATCAGGCTCCATATATCATGAAAATTTTGAAGAAATTTGGCATGAATGAATGTAAAACT